AGTGTAGCTTTGTAGCATTAGCTGCAATTAACCACCACAAAATACTAGTAGTATTCAAACAGTTTTTACTGCTCATGAAGGACATGTTTAATTCATAATAGAAAGAATATAATGTTTCAGCTTGTTTAATTAGCATAATCTCACATAATCTAGTCAATATTTGATTAGCACGGTAAACATGTTAGCACTGTTAGCATCACTAAGCTACTGACTATATTGCTGTATATTAAGTTTTACCTAATTAGACACAATTTCACTGACTAATATGAGCCTAAAAATTCAATGTAAACCAAGTCTAGCTTAACTTTATTTCTTGCTTTAACTTTTTAATGTTTATAGGTTAATTTAGCCTGCAAATTATCTCTAACTGGTGCCTAGCATGCTTAAATCGCTTTCCTTTGAAAAGAGTTCTCAAAATTGCTTATTTTTGTTCTTGTATTTACTCTTGCCTCAGATCTCTCTGACTGGCATAATCTTGTAATGAGTACAACTCCTCTGAGATGAGCTGTGAACCCCCACATCAGGAAGACAACAAAAAGGTTATGTAGCTTGAGGAGTACAGCATTTTTTTTTTTTTTTGTAGTCACAAGAATACACGTCTCAGCACAGCGAGGGAAAGAAAGCCACCAACTCATAGTTCAGTTTCTGACATAAACCAGTGCTGAGAGACTTCCTTTTAATGTTCTTCTACCCCCGCGCTAACCCTCTGGAGGTGGCAGTGGGTGGTATGCTGGGTGGTGCAGGGCCTCAGCTGGCCGCACAAAGCAAGGATGACAGAGACATTGTACTCAACCTTTCCATTCACCCAAAACATGATGAAGTCCTCTACTGTCTCACAGGGGAGAGTCACACTGGCAGGACTTTAGAAGTCTTTTTATACTTTTAAAAGTCTAAACAACAATGCTCTCTCACACACACACACACAAACACACATTAAAGCAAACTTTCATCTTTCCAGAGACTGTCATCCCTGCACCGACAGTGACACAGAGTATAAAGTGCTGACTCGTTGGCCTCCCTGCCGATTCCCGCCCTGCTGTTGATGGAGCGTGTCCTGATAAATAAAGCGACATATGCATTGGAATGGGAAAACGAGGGGAAAAAGAGAGAGAGAGGCAAAGGGAGCGAGAGAGCATGGAGAGCTATAATTAGTAAGTGATTAACGAGCAGGCATCAGACAGGTCCCACATCATTGATTGTGATGTTGTGCAATGCTGCTGCAGCGAAAACAAGTTGGCCCTAGGAGGGGGATATGGGGTCACTGCTCAAACACACATCCACATACACGCAGTAAATGTGCCTGTTCCTACTGCAAAACACATCCAGTGGTCATTAGTGAGAGCATAATGGCAAAGCACATTATGTCAGACTTGAAACTAAAAGACTTGCATAATAAAAAGTTTGACTGTGCTAAATTCCACATACTCTAACCATGTATCCAACAACTCCTTCTAGGGCTGAACGATTATGGAAAATAATCTAATTGCGATTTTTTGCCCCAATATTGCGATTGCGATGCAATATGCGATTATTTTTTAAGGTCTTTGTCTTCTGTATTATTAAACAAAGACAAGCAATACATCATATAGTATGGCCAATACTATATTACATTAATTTTAAACTGTTCTTTCCTGGAAGACAGACCTCTGTTATGATGACATGAGGTGATGCATGAATTGATGACTGACATTTTTATTTAACTTCTTCAATCACAACAGTATATTTGAACATTCACAATAGTTTATTTTTAGCTTACAAACATCTGAGCATAAAGTGCTGACAAGGAACCCTGGTGTAAACATTAAAATGAAAGTCAGTACAATGTGCAGATTGCAGAAATATACATAAAAAAAATCAGTGGCTTTACCACACTAGCCTTAACTAACTAGCCGTAACTAGCCTTCTGATTAGCTAATCAGAAGGCTAGTTCTGATTAGCGTCACCGCTGTCTCGGTGGAGTTTAATAAACTCGGCTGTCTGCTTCTTGCTATCTAAAATATAACCAGACACTGGTGTAAATTCTCGACTGTCTCATACTTCTGTTTAATAAGTTTTCTGTTTGACGTTTAGTCAGCTGTGTGAAAACCAAGGAGGAACCCACCCGGGGGATTAATAAAGTTTTATTTTATCTAATCTAATAACTTTAATCTCAGCCAAACCGATTTACTCACGAACAAACAAAACACTGAAAAAAGCCCAACAATAACATTTTTAGGTTGTCTAAGTGACTTATATATTACGTTTAACCCGAGCAGCGAAACTCCGCGGTGATCTGAAAATGATGTGCCGGGAGTTGTGCCGTTCTCGGCCGCATCAGTAACCCTCGAGCTCCCGGCTAGCTGTCGAGCTGGTGGGTAGCAGACGCCTCTGAAAACGTCGAAGCACTTTTGCAAATATGGGATATCTTGATAAACCGAGCAGATATTTGATGTTTACACAACTACTTTCTCGCCTGAAAATATGTTAAAAGTTTATTTTGTGACCTAGAAAGATTAGTATGAGTAATTTTAAAACTTAGTAGCGGCCGCCATTGCTGGAAACTGGAGTTTGGCTGGGCCGAGCTATGAATTCTGGGATATGGTAGTAATTTGGACAGCCTTCGGCGCGTCGCTGTGACGTAATCGGTCTACAAATGCGGCCTCAGGAGGATGCAGCCCATGAATTTGGACATGTCCAGAGTATAATCGCAGCCTTTGCGGTTAGAAAATTGCACTTGATCATGTCGCGATATTATCGCAAATGCGATATATCGTTCAGTCCTAACTCCTTCTATACATGATTTAATGTTTGCCTTTCCCATCAAGCTCCACTATCAGTCAGCTCCCAGGTTCCCAAACTGATGTGTGTGTTTAATCATATCCAATGTACTGCAACAAAAAATTTCTGAATGCAGAAAATATTTAATCTCAATAACAGTTTCTTGACTGTGGTACAAGCGAGCATGTAGATTTTGCATAGAGATTTGGGAGGATGTTATACTTTGATAGCGAACAGTTTTAGCTTTATGTAGGAATACTTCCCTTTTTTAAGTTCACACTTAGTTCGGGAAATCACTTCTCAGATTAATAAACAGTTGGCTCAGAACTTCACACAGCACCGCTGTAGACAGACAGGCACACGGCCCCTCCCTCCACTAGCAGCTGAACACATGAACAGCAGTGGATATTCAGAAAACTAAACAACATTTTATGATGAATTTGGAAGTCACTAAAGCTCCCATTTTAACAACTTTAAAGCAGCTATCATAAATATTGATCTAGTAAACAAACACATTAATGTTAGCTGTTAAATTATTAGCTATTACTCAAAGCCAACATTAACTGTCAACTAAATTAGCATTAAAAGTTAGCAGCTATGGCTAATAATAAAACAATATTTTTGTGGAATTTGTCTTGATTTTTTTGTGTCATTTATTTCCCTTATGACATCAAAAACAGCACACAACACACTGAGTATCAGTATCGAGCTTAAAATTCTAGCATTGTTACAAAATTCAAGCTTATTTAAAGCATTGCAGATCAGCTCATTTCAATGCATTTCCACATCACCCAATACGCTTCTATGTGTATTTGAAACTTCAATACAGAGCATGACATTTAAGCTTCTCTACCTTGCTTACAGTTGCTGGATGTCTGAAAGCCGCTTTGCAACCCCTCGAATGAAAAAACTGATACTGTTTTTATGTTTTAAATACATTTGTTGTTTTCTCTTCTGATTTATCCTCTAGACCAGAGGTAGGCAATCAAGTTTCCCAAGGGAACACATGAGAAACTGGGACTGTTGTGGATAATCAATAAGCTTTGAAGGAGTTAAAATTAATATTGTGCATAACTAAGTTCAGCTCATTGATGCGGCACTCCACAACCCGTGCTTTAGACTTTTCAAGATTGTATTGAGTGGCTGAGGACACATCAAGGTTACACACCCCAACTATCAACACAAAGTAAGAAAGTTATATGTGGAATAATAAATGGGTTTCGCTTGATTAGATTCCAATTTGGAACTGACGTGATTTCAGCACTACTATAATTAAGCTTCTCTCAAACTCAAAATTGTTTTAACCATTACCATCTATAGCTCGGTCATATTTCCACATTTTCTTTAACTCTTTACTTAATCTAAATTCAGACATGCCTTACTTTGAAAATCTCTTTGTATTTCCTAAAAAAGGTAAGATGGAAATGGGTCTGACATAGATATGACACATCACTACCCATTGACAAGCCTGCTTACCTCACAGATGTAGCATAACGGCGACAATAAATACGGTCTTCAGTCTGCCAGTTCACAGAACTTGTATCATTTAGAAATTATTGGAGGTCGATGGAAAAATTGTTTGATTCACTGTTGCATTTTATCAAAACTATTAAATGATTCAGCATTCAGTCAATGTTTTAAGTGACTGGATGCTAAAGAAAACCAGTGCTTGCATGTATGTCGGCAGCCTCTGTAGTATCTTTTACAACTCTCACCCAACCCTGACGCAGTTCTCGCTTCGTCTGAAGATGAGTTAGGCAATACTAAGCGAAATTTAAGATGTAGGGAGAATAAAACGAAAGAGAGAGAGAGAGAGAGAGAGAGAGAGAGAGAGAGAGAGAGAGAGAGAGAGAGAGAGAGAGAGAGAGAAGAGAAAGGGACAGAGAAATGCTGAGGAAGGCTTTCCCTCTCCATCTTTCTTTCCCAGAGAACTGGTCAGGTGCCAACATCAATGTACTTTACTGTATGGCTGGGTGGGCACAGAGAGTGCTGGTCCATCATGCGTGGTGTAATGTCGCTCTGTCCTTGCCCCCATTCTTTACTCTGCCAAGCTAATAATGATGACAATGAGAAGGCGGAGAGAACGAAGGGAACACTTAGGAACTTGGCTCAGCTGCTCGCAGCACAGAGGAATGAAGCAGACTTTGCCAGTGTGACAGTGGAGGATGTGTCAGCAGGACACAAGGAAGAGAAAAGTTTGGCAAAGCAAGACGTTTAAGGCCGTATTTCCCCCCATTACCTACCTTGTCGTTGTTGTAGTAGGTCAAACTCTCACCATCAAATCTCACCCACCTCCTCTGAAAAACACATTTTCTGCACACAAAAAAAGAGAAGCAGAAATGTGTTTGATACACTCACAAAGTAATTAACCAAAAAAAGAAATCAAGCGAAATCCCCAAATCTCAGGACAGCGAGTCAGTGATCCGCTCTGTACAGGTACTCATATTTCATCAAGAGTGTCATTGTTTCATTAATGTCAAGAGTTGTTTCAACAGCTGTCAATTAGCATAATCAAAACAAATGGCCACTTCCAATTTGAATATTCAACAGCCCAAGGGCAGTTTGCCAAAGTTATGCTAATCAGGTGAGGAAGGAGAATATAAAAAGGAAGCAAATGACTGATAGCTGTGGCTTCAAGCAACAGTGGAACGTGCAGCACCGAGGGAGACACGGGGAAAAGAAAATGTAGTTTTTGACAGGAAAGCTGAACGAACTGAAATAAGACATATCGTGCATCTCAATGCTACGAGGTTATCTCCCATCTTCTTTTTTCTTTCCTTTCGATAGTGCCTTGCATTAAAGATAGATCTGCTTCTGTATCCAATACCATTTATCAGTTTTAAGCAATCATCCGAGATAGAAGACACACGGGGAAGCAGAGAGTGCAAAATTTATTAGAGAACAGTTTTCTGGCCATTTGAGATGCATGTTGGGATTCAGAGGTGTAAAAAACAGTATATACACTAAACCTGCACTGATCTTAAGAGGATATAAATATCCTCCAGGCAGAGTGGAGCTGCAGAAAAATTGACCTTCATGCATGTAGAGCTACCTCTAAATACTAGTATGAAGCAGTGTAACCTACCCTTGAGGTGACAGCTTGTCCAGCCAACCCACTTTGAGCACCTGCCGTTTGGGGACTCCATAGAAGCATGCATATGGAGAAATATCAGGCAGTCCACTTTTCTCTGCAGCCCCCACAGAGTCTGCAGCTTGTGAGTAGAGGTCACAATTCACCATGATCAAGGATTTATTATTAGAGCCGGAGGCAGCTGGACCGACAGCAGCAGCGGGGTCAGGGGTCTTGGAAAAACTTTGGTCCACACATGCCTGCGGCAAAACGGCAGCACACTCGTCCACTGTGGAGTAGTCGTCCCCGTAAGGGTCTGGAATAGCTGGAGCTGGTGGAGACATTTTTTCTTTGGACTCTTTCTTCAGTGGTGTCTTTTTTCTGCACAGAGGACATCAATAGTTAGATGGCATTAGCAGTTAATCAGGAATTACCTTGTGTATGCATCACATGTTAAGAGAAAAATGCTGCTTTGCTAAAAGAACCCAATTGTGCTTATTTCCAGGTTTCAGTTCAGTTCAGTTTTATTTATGGTCAAATCACAATGACACCTGCCTCAAGGTGCTTTATATTTTATGGTAAAGACTCTACAATAATACAAAGAAAAGTCCAACAATCAGATAACTGTCTGTGAGCAAGCACAGGCGACCGTGGGAAGGAAAAACTCTCCTTTAACATGATGAAACCTTCAGCAGAACCAGGCTTAGGAAGGGGCGGCCATCCGCGATGAATGGTTGCCTCTATTAGAGTAGCTTTGCATGATCTACAGCTTAAAATAATTTTGAATTATATTATTCTGAGGCCTTGGTGCAGCCAATGTTCAGCTACTTTTTGTTCAGCCTTCACTTTCTCCTGATTGGCTCATCTACTAAAAACAAGTTTGGAATAGAGGGTGGGCGGGGCTTCTTAATCTGAGAACAATGTGACTGACATGACATTTTTGGAATACCCTCATTTCATTGACATCAAAAATGTTGTTTTGAAGCAGATTTTGACAGGAATTACTAACTTGTTAATTATTTGCTTATGTCATTCAGCTAACTGATTCTTAAACTGTTTGAATCAGCATAAGAAACAGAAAAAAACATACAGCACAAAAGTAAGCTAGGCTAATTGCCTCCTGAAGTATTTATATTTATCTATGTAGACTGTACGAGTTCCTCGGTTCTATCGTCACTAAAGAGACGGCTACCTTCACTTACACACAATCAAGTAGTGAGCAGTTTCATGTGGGAACTGTTTCCTTTCTATTGAACCGACCGTGTCACTGGGCAGAGGGAAGCGTGCACTGAAGTGTGACAAGAGGCACGTGTTTCTAGCAGGAGTACTGGAATAATGGTGTTCTCCGGAACTGAGCTGCAAAGTTAGCTAGGCTGCATGCTTCGTTTGCTTGGTGAATGTAGCTTGGCTATAAAGAAAACGGTTCCTACATGAAATTGCTTTCTGTAAACACTGCTGCAGTAAAACCTGGGAGGGGCACTTTCACCAGCACAAGGCAAGTGCAATCTGGTTTCATTACATTCAGGAGAAGAGACAGATCTCTGCAGCCAATACCTGCAAACTTAAGGCAGCCTAAATAGGATGGCAGCAAGAAGGAAAAGAAGAAGAAAGAAATTGATATTTCGGTGTTCTGCCTCTTTTAAGAAGGCCCATTCTCACAAATCTGAGGAAGGACATATATATTAAATATTTCTAGTGTAGCTAATCACAATAGTTATTTTTTCTCATGCAAAGTGGCCACATACTGTTATCAGTACTTTACATGCCATTATACAACAAAATCTGCAGCGTATGAATCCCAGTCTTCATTCAAATATCTGGATTTCTTTGTGTGTATATCCAGAGTGGGCTAGAGCAGCATTACGTGAGCATACTATACCTCTGTTTCCTCCGTTTTATCTTGTCCTTTAAACCCTTGTGGGGCTCTTCTTTAGCACCTTGGTCCTAGAGAACACAGCAGAGATTAGCATCAGATGAAAAGGAGGTGTCCATCTTTCAGTCAGACACAGTTATTGTCTCGGTGCACTAAACTATGTTAACTTTAGCAGCGAGGTGACATTTCTATTAACCTCAGGGGGCAAGCTGAAACGAGCACATTTTACACTCTGTGTGTCTACAGTGACAGCATTAACACTGAGAGGGAAGTTGAGCGTGCGGACTGCAGCCGAAACACCGAAGATAGCGTCGAAGATCTGAGAAATGTCTGTTCCTCTTTGGCGAGCTGCTACTCACTGTCCAGTAGTGGGAGTGTACGCTGTCTTACCGGAGCACTTTTGGGGGTGTTGAACAGGAATATTTCACCGTAGGGAGCAATAGGCGTCAGGGTTCTTTGAAGTGGAGCTAAAAAGGACACAAAGACAACACGATGGTGGTTTGTCACGGCACTGACACTTGCAAAACACAGTGTGAAAGCCTAAACGTGGTGCTTGAAAGTAGAAAGCTTAACTGGATTGTTCCAGTTCAATTTTTAATCACTCAGATGTTATAGTGTCCTTTGATTAGACTAACTCACTGATCTGAGCAAACGTGTCAACGATTGATCCGTGCAAGCAAATACACCAATTAAATTTCGCTTCAGCATGCCTGTGTTTCTGCCTCGGCCCTCATCCCAACACACAAAATGAAAGTGCGGTCCTCGATGCCAAGACATTTCTCTGTCTGGGCTCCTGCAGGGACCGTGGTCGGTGGAAGCAAAGATGAAGAAGAAGAGCGTAGAGACTCCGGCCAGACGCTATTAGTCTGGAGACCCCGGGCCACCCTGCGTGGGCTGCTGCCTGTCACTGTGAAAAATGACGCCGCCCTCTCCTGAGGATTGTGAGGGCCAGAAGACGCCGCCACAGGGCTGGACACACACACAGACACGGGTGGAGGAGCAGATATGCGCGCTGACAGTGGCGTACAAAGATCGAAACACCCTCGGACATGTAAAGACGCCTCGAGACAAACACAGACATTAAAAGGATCTACAGCCATATACGTAGACACTCGCACTCCTACGGACATGAATGTACTACTTTTGAAATCCTTACAGACACACACTTCCAAACAATGCAGCCCATTACCGAAGTACACAGAGGGCACGGTAAGCTTTATGAAGAGGTCAATTTACTTGATGACAGAATCCACTCCAACAAAGTCGCCTTCTCCACAGAGAGGCTTGGTGCGCAGATAGCAACCATCAATCATCATCCATCAGCCGACCTTCAGGCCACTCATGGGTCTCTCAGAGGGCTGTCAGATGCCGCTGTATTCAATTCCTGTCTGATTCCCTCTACTCTTCCCTCGCTGGATCGGTTGCCAGCTTCTGCATTTGTTTCTCTGCTTCTTTATCTGCTCATGAGCAGACTGTCAAGTCGCAATCTGGGAAACGATTTAGATGCAACCAACAGCTTGGTGTTAGCGTGGAGATTATTTTGTTTCTCCTGTCTTTACGTTGGAGAGTTATGGGTTACTTTGTTATTACTTGTTTGTGACACCTCATTGCTGAGCAGGGAGGACACGGAACTGAAACTGCATGAATTCAAATTAGTCACCAAACAGTTTATTTGGTGCACTGCTTCCCTAAGTTAGCAGTATTTAAAGCATGAAACTCTACAGCACTGCTTTACTAGCTAACATTTAAATCTTTTTTTTTTTTTTACTGTAAAAGTTTATTTCTAATTCTGTACAAGAAAAGATTCATTTACAAAGTAATCTACAATAAGATTAACTAGAGAGGCCTTTATTTAGTGCCGTTTAGAAAATGTTAGCATGCTAACAAGCTAACAATATTAGCTAACCTTATTAGCTAGAGTTACTTCAGCTGTTCAACTGCGTGCTAAACAGCTAACTACAGTGAAGCAAGGTGATTTACACTACTTTGAAGGTGGGAATCTAGTGTTGCGCTGTACCATATCATATCATTCACAATAATACCAATGTAAATTTAAATAAAATAGCAATATTTTTGCGATGCATTTACATTGCATTTACATTACGTAGTGTGGGCATTTATGAGAAAAGTGTGGGTGTGTCTGCCTAACAATGATATGATAAACTTTTCAAAATATACAGAGGAAGCTACTTGAATATCTTCCCAGTGTTGCCAACTTAGTGACTTTGTCGCTATATTTAGCGAGTTTTCAGACCCCTTAGCAACTTTTTTTCTAAAAAAAAAGTCGCTAAAAAAAGATGTGAAAGCCCGTATCGCTTTTACTCTCAAAAAGCAGCGGGTGCTGTAACCCAGTCAGTTCTTCTTTTCTTCTTTTACTCTTGTCGTGGCCTTTTACGTTCCAAACACCAAAAAAGTCCAAGAAAAGGCCGTGGGTGGCAACGGGAGGTTTGTTTTAGAACGTTTGTTCTTAAAACTTAAAATTAAACTAAAGTTAACTTAATTTGCTTTAACAACTTCAAAAGTGGTCAAAAAAATCATTTTCTAACCCTCCCGTCTTCCCATCTGACATTTGGCAAACAAAAAACAAAAAAACTCTTTACCACACCCATCCAGGGTGCTCTTAATCTCTTGATTAATGGGAGGGTCCATAAGCTAATAAACCAATCACTTTCCAAAAGCTTCTCCAATAAAATTAATTACAAATTTACATAACAAAACTAGGTCAGTATATTCTTACACCTTTAAAGAAAAACAAAAATGAATACAAATTGCATTTTATAAACATTCAACAAAAATGGCCACAACAACTCTTATGCTGTTTTGTGGATCACAAGGTTTAAAACTACTTATAAACACACACACACAAAGTAACTCCACCAGAGTGCCAATTTCGGGTCACTTTTGCCGGTCCAAGCCCGGGTAAAGGAGCAGGTTTGGAATTGTGACAAAACAATAATTGCTAAAAGAAAGTTAATTTGAAGTTCTAAATAAACTCTAAATGCATTTAGGACGTTTTTTACTCACTTTATGTCTCTTCCACGATGTTATTTCTCTCTCCAACAACATAGGTTATAATTAGATTAGCATGACCAATTATGCAAATTAGGCGATGACGTCATTTAGCGACTTCTAGCGACTTTTAGGACAACTAATAGCGATTTTCCTTACTGAGGAGTTGGCAACACTGTATCTTCCGACAAAGCACAATACTCTTCAAAATATGAAAGAAAACCGCTTTTGCTTTGAAACAACTAACACGTTTCACCACTTGAGGTAAAGACACACAGTCGAGTAAATCCGGGCTGTGAAGGAGGAGATACTGGTGATGCAGCTACTGATGTGCGACCCAAATGTAATCCAATCACATAACCTTGCTAGCTGCACGCCATATGACAGAAAGCCCAAATGGTCTTTAAGCAGCTGGTCAAAAAACTCGACCCAAGGCTCAACATCCCAGGCAGAAAACATATTTATGTTTCATTACGTGAAAATGTTGTGCAGCTGCTAATGAATTACTATGCCAACTTACTTTAGATATCCTTACACTAAATTAAAATCTGCCTAGGCTGCTTTTGTGCTTATGTCTAACTTATGCTGGGTCATTACCACTGGGTTTTGGTTTTTTTTGTTGTTGTTGTTTTTTTTTTCAGATCTACCATTTATCAGCTCAAACATCCAACGACATGAATGCTTTAAAAGCATCAACATCAGCTCTTCTCTGACAGCATGGTGGGAGTTTCTAAAATTGACGGAGTCTTCATTAATCCCATGCAAACGTACACCTATCTGGAACCACCCTGACATATTACAAAACAATGATATGATAAACTTTTCAGATTGGAGTGGTAAAGGAATCAAATATTTAGAACATATACTAGAAGGAACAGAATTTATTTCATTTGACGGACTAGTTACACAATATGGGATCAACAAGAAAAGATTTTTAGAATATCAACAAATTAAATCCATAGTAAAAAAGAAATTTAAACCGGGTCAAGTTGAACTACAAACACCACCAAGTGTGGTTCAATTTCTTACTCTTAAAACCCCCAAATTACTATCCAAAATATACAGAATGTTCTCTAAAACAGGGTCATTACCACTGTACTATAACGTTGCTGCTGTTGGCACCTTGTTTCAATAGGTTTAAAACGTCAAATTAAGAAGTGTGCCATCATTGACAGGAGCTTGATGGAAAAGGATGAAAAATCTCCTTTATTTACTTACACTTAGAAGTAAATACCACTGTTATTCTGAGTTTTCTTGAACTATAAGCTTGAGGCTATATCACCCATGTTCACTCGAGGGTTTACAGAGAATGGTCCAAAATAGAGAAAGTATCTAGTGCCTTGTTAGGGGAAGGTAAGTTAAGAACAGTCAGACTGCTTCAAGCCAACAGAAAGGCAACAGTAACTTAAACTCCTGAGTATTGCTGCTGATTGGAGGGTACCCATCTTCCAATGGCTGTTTCCAGAAGCATTACACGCTATGTCTCAAAGTTCAAATCATCTCTTGACAGTGACCATCACTCAATCAGTGAGTGGAGGCCATTTGAGAACAGCCATTTCTCAATCCAATAGAGCACCTTTGGGATGTGGTGGAACGGGATATTCCCATCATGGATGTGTAGCTGACAAATCTGTGGCAACTGTGTGACACTATCGGGGTAGCATGAACCAAAATCTCAGAGAAATGTTTCTAGCACCCTGTTGAGTCTGTGCCACAAAGCAGGTTCTGGAGGCAAATGGATGCATATACATGTCCAGCACTTACAGTAGTGCATCAATGTGGCCACTGTTTCAGTACAGGGTATTAACCTTTGTAGTTTTGGTTGTTTGTCTAGCAGGTCAGCTGTTTCCCTGTTTGACTTGTTATAAATGACAAATACACATAAATAATACAGGTTTTCTGGATGAATTAAAAATACACATTCTTAAATTATATATTTAGGAAAAACTACATGAAAATTCTCATATTAAATTTATGGAAAAAACTCCTAAATTTAATTTAAAGTAAAACGCAATAATACTAGTTTTACTTTGATGAAATGTGGCTTCCACTTGCTGAAACTGAGAAATTGTGGCTTTCGAAATGCATATCTTAATTTTGAGAATCAGCTTGTAAATTGCATGATTCATTTCCTCTTCTGCTGCAGTGCAAGACGGTTTAACTGTGTTTATAAGTAAAGATTTTAATTTAAAGGACAGCATTTTGCATGTGTCACAACGTAGCTTTTAATTACACTTCAAGACATTGTTCTCATTTACGGTTGAACACACAGAAACAGCAGTCTTCATATTGCGAGTCAGCAGGTTCACACTGTGACAGCCCAATCTCACAGTTTTGTACAAAGGAAAATTCATACACTCTTCTGTTAGTGCCACAAATCCCAAACACGGATTCTCAGTAAACAGGAACTTTTCATCCTCTGCGAAAAGCTGGCGTGTCTTATCCCACCCCCAGAGTTTGGCCTCGTTCCCTCCCTCCCCTCCCAGCCCTAAGAAGTGGTTTACAGACCGCCACTCATCCTCTGAGACCTCTGCTAGACAGCCTAGTGTTTACCAGGATTTCTGCAGGCTGGAGTGTGACGTTATGTATTTAACAAATTCTGTATGATTCTTTATCTTTCAGCTAGCAAAGCCTAATGTACTGATCCTTCGAGAGCACGATCTCACATTTGGTCTGCCTGATACAACTGATGCAGTTTGTGCAGAGTGTTTTTGGAAACCTTCAGTGCAACAATGGTGTCACACTTGGAGAGCCCCTCTCTACTTAGAATAACAATTTGACTTTTGACACTCTCTGCTCTGATGCTGTTGTCCCACCATCACACTGGTGAGCAATCCTCTGGTGTAAACTTAAGTCACAGCCTGCAAGTTAATTTCCTTGAACAAGCCTTTAATGAGATCAAACCCAGCTGACTGTCATCCTCAAGCTGATTCAGTACAGCTCAAAGGAGGCTGCATAATGAACAACGCACCTTTGCTCAAACTTGATAGCTGACTTAGAAATAGCAGCTAGTGTGCATACTCATCTTCATTTTACACATCAAGCTTTCTTGTGTGCATTTTTTTAATCGTCAGCATCTCTGATAAGTTACATAAAAATTTCATAGATTTCCATTCATGCATTACACCAGTTGTACATCAGCAAATTAGCATTTAAACTGCATCACGGTAAGCATGCTAACTGTTCGAAGCAGATGTGATTTTATCTGCAGCATCAGTGTATTACAAGCGTGCTTTTATCTGCTATCGTCTGATGAGTACAGTTAGTCGTGTTTACGTCTGGTCAAGCTACTGCATTATCCTTTTAATCTGATAAGGGCGATTGCTTTGGTTTGTCTGCGCGACCAGAGCATTACCAACACGGCGACGGTCACCAGCATCGCTAATCTAATGTGAAGGTAAATAAAGCAAAAAAACCTCTCGGCATCACTGAATCAACACAGATCCCGATGAAAACTCAGAGGATGTGTTAGTCTGCTTCTTTCTTGCCAATTTGCTCAGAAAATAAACTTAAAGTATCGTTTTACACAAAGACAGAGTGCCTCAGTAGTTTTCTATAGTTACACATGAACCACACAGCATCTAGTTTTCCTGAATTTTGTTCTTTGTACTTCTACCTGCCCAACTGAAGAACACCTGTCAGCTCAGCCATCAGAGCCACGCAGCGCTTCCTTTTTTCTTCTATTTTTTTGCCAGCACAGAATAACTCACGCCTACTCGCCACAATACAAACTCAGCACTTCAAGTAATCACTTCAAATGAAAAGCCCTCGCATCCAAGTGAATGTGTGTGCCAACTTTAAAGAAGTTCCATCAAGGCGTTCAAGAGATATATACGCTGAAGCGAAGGCGATGAAAACACAAAAAGACGACTAAACGGAGTTGTCTTTGTACCATAAGACACTGAGGATTATTTATTTATCAATCACCATCAAAATGAAACAAGTGCAGTAGTTTGACACCAAGGTTATTAAAGTTAGCTAAAACTAATTCAAGTGTTGAAACAAAAAATAATAATAAAAAAGTGTAAAGAGTAAAAAGAGTACGTCCTTAGTTTTAGTATTTGGTCAACACAGCAAGATCAACACATGATTTCTGCTGTGACATTCAGATGGTAGTATCAGAATTTGGTGTAAACAACATAAAAGCATCAATCCATCCTGCCTTGTATCAGCAGCTCAGGCAGCTGGTGGTGTAATGTTGTGCGCGATGTTTTCTTGTCACATTTTCGGCCACTTAGTACCAAATGAGCATCATTTAAACCCCAACCTGAGTATTGTTGCTGACCATGTCCATCCTTTTATGACTACAGTGAACCCATCTTCTGATGACTGCTTCCAGCAGGATAACACACCACGTCACAAAGCTCAGATCATCTCAAACTGGTTTCTTGAACCCATCGATGAGTTCACCATACTCAAATGGCCTCCACAGTCAATGAATTTCAATCCAATAGAGCAACTTTGGGGTGTGGTTGACCAGAAGATTCGCATCCTGATAACTGTGTGACGCTATCACGTCAATATTATGCACCAAAATCTCCAGCACCTTGGTGAATCTATCCCATGAAAACGTAACTTTTTATGCCTCTATAAGCCAACGATGAGTAACCCTTGAAGCTCTTTTCTGAATTGAGAGATTTCTGATATATTTTAGGCCTTCTTATAGAATAAACTGACTGGGTCAGAAATGAGTGAGGGTGGTCTCTGCCTATGCAGCTATCCTTTGAAAAGCCCAGATGGTCGCCAAACCATGTCTTTATTGATATATACTTATATGTTAAATAGGGCTGCCACGATTAGTCGACTAGTCACGATTACGTCGACGACATATTTAATAGTCGACGCGTCGTTTAAAGCCTTGTAAGATCCTGAAAGACGCAGGAATAAGTAGTAGGAATTAAGAGTGTAATAACGGACTGAAACAGAAGATGGCAGCACTGCATGTACAAAGATGCCAGCTGCCGTTAAACCCCAAAGAAGAAGAAGCAACTCCGGTATCGTAGCTGTGTCCAAATTCAGGGGCCGCATCCTTCGCAGGGCGCATTTGTAGGCCGATTGCGTTACAGTGACACGACAAAGTTTGTCCAAATTCTAAGACTTCTGCAAATGCAGCCGACAAATGCGTCCTACTTTTCCCCAGATTTGAAGGATGGGTCGGGCGTATGGCCCAACCTATCCCAGAATTCATAGCACGGCTCAGCCAATTCCAGTTTCCAACAATGGCGGCAGCTACTTAGTTTTAATATTACTTTTATTATTCTTTCTGGGTCACAAAATAAACTTTTAACATATTTTCGGGCAAGAATGTAGCTGTGTAAACCTCAAATATCTGCTCGGTTTATCAAGACACCACATATTTGTAAAAGTGCTCCGACGTTTTCGGAGACGTCTGTTACCCACCAGCTCAATAGCTAGTCGGGGTTCAAGGCTCACTAGAGCCGGCGAGAACAGCAAATCATTTTCAAACCCCCCGCGGTCTTTCGTTACTCAGGTTAAACATATATAAGTCACTTATAGATAACTTAAAAATGTTATTGTTTGGCTTCAGTGTTTTATTTGTTCCTGAGTAAATCGGTTTGGCTGAGATTAAAGTTATAGTTTTGACACAGCTGAATAAACGTCAAACAGAAAACTGATTATCAGAAGTGTGAGATGCTGGAGAATATACTCCGGTGTCCTGTTATATTTTAGATAGCAAGGAGCAGACGGCTGAGTTTATTAAACTCCACTGACACAATCTGCAAAATTCATTAAAAGTTTAATCAACTATCATCTTGTCTTTATTTTTAGTTAGCACAAACCTTAAACACTTCAAGCTGTAAGCTAATGACAGTTATATAAGAGCAGATGCTGCTGGTGCAATAAGCTGTATGTTTTACGTCCAATGGATGCAAGATTCGATTAGTCGACTAATCGCAAAAATAATCGGTGACTAGTCGACTATTAAAATAATCGTTTGTGGCAGCCCTAGTGTCAAACTCGTCGTTAAGGGTGCGAGGTAGGCTGTCTTTTTGGAAAAAGAGTTATGAAGGTGGTCCAAGGTGTAGTATCAAGGTGTAACTAGGTGTAACTAATAAAGTCATACTTTTTTTAATTCAAATTAGTGAAGACCCAGAACAGTCTGCTGTGCTGCTGTAGAGCTGATAGAGAAGCACTAGACAGAAAACTGCATCCTTAATGAGATTTTAAAATTAGAGAGGAGGAGAGAAGGTGTTAATTAAAATTCTGCCAGCCTCCAGTAGCAAGTTTTGATTTAATACAACAATCATTCTGTGAGACTGCACTGCTTGTTTCTCATCTCGGCATAAACTCTTCAAATATGCTTGGGTAAAATGATATGTCAAATAACGCCTTGCTAGGCCTTGCTGTGCAGGGAGTTTTTTACTTGCTAGTCGAGCTCCTCATTTCCCTGCTCTGGGGCCGTCTCGGCTCCCTCTCTTCCTCCGTCTCTCTCAGCCTGCTTTGCATCCTTCCCCTGCTCGTTCCTCCCAACCCACTTCACTGTCGTGCCTTTCTCTCAAGTCTCACTCCCTGCCTTGTTCCATACAGAGAAGACGTTGGAAAAACAAGACCGCCAGGAGACTGCTGCGGTAAAGGCACGCGGAACAAGAAAGGAGCGTAAAGGAAATGTCAAAAAACGCGGACGGAAATCTGTTGATTCGCTGCGAGGGGCGATGTTACCATGTGGTCACATATGGTCCCAAAAAGACTGACACGTTCAAGGGTGTTTACCACATATTTGTACAGACTGTCATCATAGAAGAGCATCACATAATCCTGAGAGAGTGCATCTACTTCAGGTGGCGGGGCCGACTAGGTCCAATAAACAGGGCTGGGACGGATTCAAAAACATATTTGTAATGGTTGTACTACAAGTCTGTGTGCTGTTAGCAAACTTGAACAACTTCTAAAAAACTTTGGAGAGCACTGTGACAGAAATACACACCAGGGTCTCGCTGAGGGACAAGATGTGAGAGAGCATATTCCCTGTGAGATCACCTCTTGAAAAGGGGGGTGCCGGCGTTTCCCACGACACCAGCCTCTGAACACCCTCACCCCACCTACGCACTACCCCTCATCTCCTCTCCCTACTTTCATCCGGGCAAACAACAGCACCGCTGCTGCCTCTACTGTGGAATGAAATATTCATGGCAGAGATAAAGCGGATGCAGCTGAAAGACTGTGTGTACCTTTCTGTATGCCATTTGCACCGGTGGGACCATCGGAGCTGGTTAGGTGTTCAGGGCTGGTTGTTTGCGATGGCGGTGCGCTGAGGAGGAAGAGGGAGAGAGAAAAAAAATCAGTGGATTAGAACCAGCATAGCAGCACGTGGGAAAATCTGTGACACCACGTTAACGTAAAGGCCGTCAGAAAAAGAGATGTGGAAGTCTGAAAGTTAGTTTCACAGTTTAAAAGTACATCAGTGAGAGAGATATTAATGCGCGCGGATTGCAGATTTGAACATGAAATTAGAGGCCTCGGGTTCTCCATCAGTGTAAATCTGAAAACAATGAGAAAAAGATTTGCCTTTGCATTAATTCCTAGCACGGCAGCATGAAAACACATCTCTCCAAGTGTTTTTGCCTTTGTTATTTGTACTTGTTTGATTTGGACCCAAAAACCGCTCCTAAACTTTTATAAAGTCAAACTTTCTGCTTATATGAATAGTTCAACATTTGGGGGAATTGACTTGAAAATGTAATCCTTGCTGAGCGTAAGAAGATTGATGTGTACCTCTCGTGGCCATGCAGAGAATATGAAGATACTGCCAAAGACAAAAACTGAAACTAAATAAAATACATAAAGCACACTCCTTTATAAAGATGTTAGCAGTTTCAGGAAATAGTTAAATAAAAACTATGATTACATTCACAGAGTCTGAGTTTAGACACGAAGCGATCCCTAGCAGCAACAGCTAGCTTAGCTACATCCTGTCAATGATTATGATGATGTCGATGATGATGCCGAGAAAAGAATTTAAAGAAATGGAAATAGCTAGCTTCACTCTGTACAGATGTTCAAAACCTTCCTATTAACACAAGCAAACCAACAAGTAGTATCTTTTTTGTCACCGACGTAGGGTAAACATAAAGCCTATACCAAAAGCTAACAAGCTACAGCTAGCACAGAGCATCCAACTGCCAATTTGGAGATTTCCTGGCCTTTAAACGATTGAAACAGGTACACGTTGGCTGGGCTCCGTCTCAGTTAGGATCACATTATATTATTATTTATATTCTTTCAGCTGCATTAATCATCTTATTTACTTTATTCTTTATGTATTCGCTGTTATAAATGGTGACACCAACAAATAAGCAAATAGCTAACACTTCCCCAGCAGTGAATTGGTGAGGCTTTAATTACATATCTGTAACATAAATATTCAAACTACTGCTACCAACTGCTTATCTTACCACAAATGCAGAGTAAACAACAAAGCTAATCGACTACTTATAATCCATTTATATGGTTTTCTTATATGTGTTTTTGATTTTTTCCTTCTTTTTTTAAGCCTTTTTTTGCTTATTAATTCTATAATTAACAACAACATGTTCATATTGTATCCAACTCATGTGAGCCTATTTCCCAAAATGTCAAACAAACACCAAATGAACTTAACTGCAGTACCTGTCCTGAAGTGGCACCGTGGTTGGATTTGGGATTTCAGGAACAGGCCGGTGCCTGAGTTTGTAGGAGCGACTAAGCCTCTGACCAACAGGAGGATTTAAATTGGGCGGCCTCTCATAAATTGAGTTTTCAACCATTTCACCTTGAAAACCCCCATCGTCACCGGAACAGGCGATGGAGTTCGTGCCATGCAACGGATCTTCTGTAGTAATCTCTCGATCTGGTATTTCAGAAGCAGAGAGGGACTCGCTGCTGCTGTTGGAACATGCGGAAGCAGGCAGGCAGGTCTGTGCAGATCTCTGAATGTTCTTGGGGTTACGTGGGGCTGGTCGAGGCGGGACGAGGTAACTGCTCCTTGGAAGGTTTTCAGCTTTTTCTCCCAGTCCTGCTCCTGGAGGTAAACTCTGACTTGCTTCCAAATTGTGATTGCTCTGTTCCTTTGGTTGCTGACATGATGCCCCCCTCTTTCTATCTTTCAGGAAGATATGTCTTGGGTATGGCACTGGCTCCCTCAAGTTCTTTGCTCCATCCTCTTCACTTTCATCTTCCCCTCCACTCAGCTGCTTGAACCCCAGTGCCTCCAGACTCCGGAGGATGCGTCTACGGTGGCCTGTCGGCAGCACTTTGAGCTCAAGAAGACTCTCTTCTGTCAGGTCCATGCAGTCTTCCAGAGATTTATAACCTCCCTGATGGAAAAACGGGGCATAGTGAGACAAGCGGAGGCTGGAGAGCCACTCCACGATGTCTTTGCTGGGCTCTGGAGCTGCAAACATCATCCTCTAAACCCACGTTTGCCACATTGGGGAGACTTTTAAAAGGTGGAGAAGGCCAGCTTTACTCTGTAGGTAAAAACAAAAAGAGAGAAAAATAAATGACAGGTAAAGCAATCCACAGACAAGACAAGTTCCAAACTCATACAGTATTTAACATATAGAGTTAGGTTCTTTGCGACAAGCTGCAATTTCCCAAACCTATAACGGATTTAACTTACAGAGAATTTTTTAAGTGTTCAGTTTGATGGTGTTAAACAATTCTGGCTATGGAAACATGACCCAGTTTAAGAAAGAGATCAATATTTTGAAAGATACTAGCACTCACTTCTTATTGAGAATTAGATTAAAAGATCAATAAGGTCAGGCAATTTTGCAACCGGAAATTAAATATTTGCGAAGACACGCGCGTCTGCTCTGCACAGAGAAATGATTTTCAATCGCCATTTACAGAAAATAGTGCAAGATCACATGTAATATGCACCAATCTAACTATCAGTTCCTTTAACTTCGCGCTTTCAGTTGTGCTTTATAGTTACTTACCAAGGTGAATTTTCAAAGACGGAGACGGCTAAAACTGCGAAATAAAACAATAAAATAACCAAAACAATCGCCTCACAACAAAAAACAGCCAATGATAGAGTGGCCGGCCATCAATCTTACCCTCCAAATCAATTACAACTGAATTTCACGATATAAGATTTTCACTTCCCCATTAATGTGGTCCCTGAAGTGAGTTACAATAAATTTCCCTGGATATGATGATATTTCTCTACATATTGCTCACATTATTGTTGTAGTCAGATCCTCCTTTACGTATGGTGGGGTTTTTGGGGCCAATGCAAACTCAAAATAAAAGCAAATGACGGCAACAAGAGAGGTACAAAAATAGATGCACAGAAGCATATAAAAAAAATCATTGCACAACTAAACAAAGCAACGGGCCCTCTGTGAACCTCACCCTGTATCTGACCTGGATACACAAAAAACTTAACTAAAAGATGACCGTGGGAGTTTTTGATCTTCTGAGGGTGGCACTGACCGCCTTAACAAGCGATAAAGGTGACTAAATATATCTTCTTTAAAGTCACTGTGAGAATACTTATATGCAGCCAAAATAACACGAAACACATCTGCAATACTCCTGGATGAAGCAGCAGGAAACAGCAAGAGCTATGAGGAAACACTGTACACCGTCACAGCCTGGCCCTATGGCACAGCCTTTACAGAGCACTTACCTCAACTGTGTTTAAGAATCCAGGCACCACAGCTCAAAGCCAACATATCATAACCCTTCTAATGGCGGGCTACTTTTAAGCGTCTGCATCCTGACATCAGCAAGTCTTAAGAGTGAAGGGCTGATGAACTAAGTGGCACAACTGGTCTCTCACTGCTAGTTCTCTATCTTGCACACAAACACACACAGGAAGATACATCAACAACCTCTTGTCATGACTACTTCTCTTCTTGAGTTGCAACTCGGCAGCACACAGGCAACCTGAAGTGTTGCTTCTGCTTTTAAATAAACAGGCTTTTTGTGTGTGTGTGTG